TTTTGTATTAATATTTGTTTAAACTTTAATAATAATTGATAGAATTAGTTTTGCTATATTAAAAAGTAATTATTTTTGCCACTTTAATAGAACGTGACTCTGGCTTGGTTAATCTTAGTTGTGACTCTGGTTTGGATGGTGCTAGCAGATGTAGTCGATGGTAGGATTGGATGGACACCATCCCGGACTAAAGGGGTTGTGTAATTTTCAAACTCTACACCCCCCCCCTCGTATCGTCATTTCAGTTTTGAAATAAAAACAAAAGAAAATGATAAAAACTGCAAAAATTTAAATCTTTTGAGATGTAGTTATGTTACTACATCTACTAGTTAGGAAAATTAAAAAACATAAATTTTGACATGTTTTGCAAAAAAAGTGTTATGAAAAAGTAAAACGGCTATAACTTTTGCATACGATGTCGAAAGAAAACGTATAATATATCAAAATGTTCAGCACAAAAACCTAGTTTTGATTTCGATGGCCATAGGCCGTTTTACAAATTTTTAGAATTCTCAAATTCTGAAAGGAAAAAAGTTATCCTCAAATTTAAGTTTTTTTGAGTTTTTGGTCAAACTCTGGTCAAACTATGGTCAAACTATTTATTCAAGAAATATTAGTGTTAATAAATAATTATTGTTTTTTAGAATAATAGTTTCAAACTCAAACAGTGCTTCATGCTCAAGTTCAACTCCTAAGAGTTAATAGGATTGACAGCTTACTATTGTCAGGAAAACAATAAGTGCAGACTTGGAAACTAGGGGGAATAAAACTCGGAAGTTAAGCGTGCTTAGGCTGGGGTAGTCAGAGGATGGGTGACCAGCTGGGAAGTTAGACTTGAAATGAGTGGATGAGTGCTCCATACTTGAGCAGTTATGAGGGGTGATTAGAGATTAAATTGTCAAATAATTCAGAAATAAAAAATCAAAAAAAATCAATTTTTTTCAAAAAAATCAGAAAAACCAAATTTCAAAAAAAAAATCCTTTGGTCCCGTTGGTGGGTGATTAGAGATTAAATTGTCAAATAATTCAGAAATAAAAAATCAAAAAAAATCAATTTTTTTCAAAAAAATCAGAAAAACCAAATTTCAAAAAAAAATCATTTAGTCCCGTTGGTGTTACCAACCGGGACCAAAGGTGGAGCTCCAGACAACGGCCACGTGGAGCTCCTTTAGTCCCGGTTCATAAGCAAACCGGGACTAAAGGTTTTGCGCTTTAGTTCCGAGTCCCGACCCTTTAGTCCCGGTTTCATAACCGGGACTAAAGGCCCGTTTTCTACTAGTGTTCCTTCGTTCAAGTTTATTGTTCTCCTCATATTTTGGGTCAAACTAGGACGACAATTCAGTTTTTTTTGGCATATAATTGATGTTTTGGTAGTCAAAACTATAGCTAAAGTTTGATCCAAAATATGAGTGAAATTACTAAACCCAAGCAAAGGAATCAACTAGCAAGGTGAAAAGTAATTTCAGAGTCACCAGTTGGTACGTCTACAACAAACCTTTATGCCTATCTAGTTGAGCAATTAGCGTGAGCTTCCTAAGATACGTGAACCTCTGTGCCTATCAAGTTGTGTGTGAACCATGAACCATCGATCAACCACATGATCCTGTGCCGAAAACAGTGAGAACGCTAATTTCTACAATTATTTTCCATGGTACCCGGTACATTGACTTGACACCCTTTTCACGAGAGGAAAACATCAAGCTTTGTGGCATCGACCATTAGCTCTCCTTGTAGAGTGAGAATGGACAAAGCTGAGCCAAAGCTAGATCGGAATGGTGGCGACAACGTGAGATGATTCCTTTCCTATGCTCTCATTGGAGGCTAGAAAAGGTGTGTACGGTTAAAAGCTAAAGTTTCACGTGATACTAGCACCTAGTGCTCTGTACTCCATACTGTCGAAAACCCTAAGAAATTGCATTTGCGTGTGAGATCTGAATCTGAACTCAATTGAAGTACTAGTGTGAGTCATTAACAAGTATATATATTGTTTCTCTCACTTCCACACCTGGGTTTTTTCCATTATTCATTTCACTACTGTTTCGGTACACCCCCCACCCCACCTCTAAACACATCAATGGTCGAGAACTCTGTCCGTATACCTTCATATTAAAGAACATAATGGATATTAATAAATAATTTAGTCAAGTCTAACCATATTGAAACCCACATGATCCATTTGAATCCTTACGCGTCGTACACTTAATACATATGTATTCGTATGTATCTGTATGTGCGTCATAACCCACTACTCCTGCTCGCCACATCCTTCTCGGCTAATCCATCGGCACGGCACGCGCTTGGACAATACATCCTTATCCACTCTGCCTACAACTCATCCATGCAAGAATTGCCTTATACAGGAAGAGATCTTCCCTAGTACAATTAGGGTATGATTTCAATATATGTGCTTCTGATTTCTCCTATGCGGAACCTTGAGCAGCTAGCTAGATTGAATGTCCCACCGATGTGCATGGGATTTTCACCATGAAAAGATGAAAAGAACTTGGGCCAGGTTGCTTGCAGTTTGTAAACTGAAAGCACAAAGTTGAGCAAGAGCTCTATTGGGGTGGTCGTGGTGACAACGTTGGATGATTCCTTTCCTCTCCTCTCTTCTCCTTGGAGGCTGGAAAAGGTGAAAAGCTGAAGTTCACATGATACCTTGTACTATCTAACGATAGATCGGTGCATCCAAGAAACTGCTTAGATCCATTGATGACTTGACGCGCATCCCAGTCATTAACAAGTGTATGTTTGTTTTCACACACGCATGAGAAGGCCCAATTTAAAGTTGTCTTTTTTCACCTTAAAAATTCCATCTAGTACCATGCTGGAAAAGGTATGTATGGTGAAAAGCCAAAGTTGCATGTGGTATATATTATATAGGTCTTGTTTGTTTGGGTTGTAGCTTCAGGAGTAAAATGCATCAGTGCACCCTAAACTTGCTGGTTAGGACCAAAACACCCCTCAACCTCTGAAACAGGACTAATAGAGTCCTAATACTTGTTCATACGGTGCTCCGTACCGGAACCTTTCTTCCAAGCATCGACGATGTTATAGCTGTTCACGCCAGTCCTAGGCGACGGAGATGCAAAAGATTAGTAAGTAGGTGCCCTTGACTTCTCCTACAACTAACTGTAAATCTATTGGTGGTTATATGAGCGGGTGAATAGCTCCTGTGCGACACATTTGACGCGAATTGGAAATCATGCAATGGCGTTCATGAAAATAGCTCACATGCAACACTTTAGATGGCAACAATAGCTCCTATGCGACAAGGCCCTCTTTGACTCTAAACCGCAAGAGAGAGGGGGTTAGCTCAGGTGTGTTGGGACCACCACTTTTCCACCTCAGCGTTGGAGCCGGAACTAATCCACATGCGTGCGGGTCCCACAACTTATCCACTTCAGCGTAAGCCATTACAAGGGCACCCGATCCAGCCCACAGCCCGTGTTCGTGCATGTGCCATTGCATTGCCTGACCCCCTCCTCTTTCCTTCCCCCACCCTGTTCTTCTTCTTCTCCGGCGACGAAGCGCGGCAACACCGGTCGGCGAGAGATGTCTAGCTTCAGTTTGGCCTCCCGCCCATCATGGCCGTAGTATGGTCCAGTGCCGCTGATAAGATGCCCCAACTGCCCGCGCAAGGGGCCTCTGAAGCAGCTGACATGTGTGAAGGAAGACCATGGAAACCGTGCAGTTCCCGACGACTCTGGAAGAGATGCATGTGTTGAGCCGCGTCAAACCTGATCTTTAGATGGAGGGGACGTCTCATACCGCCACCAGTCCCGGAAGACATGTTGCAGCAGCGATAGCTCATCCTTGATGAACGAAGACATGTGGTATGTGGACACATAATTAGATAAAAAAATATTAGTGCCTAGATTTATTGGAGGTCTAAGCCAAGTTGGAGCCTAGGTAGATGTGAGAGAAAACGTATGATAAATTACTCTTCTTCTCTATCAGTTTAGACGTAATTTGAAATGAAATGGTTCATGCATGAAATTCAATACATTTAGAACGGTGCCCAATGAAATGGTTCATGCATGAAATTCAATACGCAGAAAGGTGGTGGTGACAACGTACGACAGATTATTCCTTTCCTTGGAGGCTGGAAAAAGGTATGTGGTAAAACAAACCGAAGTTCGCATGAGAAGGTACTATCCAATCTACTATGGATAGATCTATAGATGCAACCAAGAAACTGATCCAATATTTCACACAACATGGGCTACGCAGTGTCACGCGCACCAAGCATGTAGGTGCCTGCTTTTTCGACAAAGGTGCCTGCTACCTTCCATTATCTATTGTGTTAGCTTTTGAGTCGTCGCTCCGCTGTGTCTACTAATTTAGACTTTAGAGAGATAGAGAGAGCTACATGCAACAAGGCAACACCCAAAAGGCTCACGGGGTGCCATATATGCAGTTGCCAATTGGATCAAACACACAACACAAACACATACGAGGATATAAACTCATGCATACATAATACAGGTGGTTGAAGGAGACACATGCCAATTGGCGCTGCATAAAACTTGCAGCATTTTCTTTATTTTTTTCCTTTAAATTTTCGACAGGACTCATATAGCGAGCCATCGGATCTGATACAAACGGAAAGAGAAAAACAAATTCAAATTTGGACGTTGGACCGAGCGCGAGCTGGTTACCGGCGGTGCCATCCACAGCCACTCGGTCCTCCTCCATAGTAATGCCGCCATGCATAATCACTTTGAGCTCGTGCCATCCCACGAAGTGATCAACCCGGAAGCATGCTTGCACACCACATGGAAAGAAATGAAGCAGCCAAATCGTGTACACGCACACGCTGCATGGTGCTTACTCTCTGCGTCCATAAATATTTATCAAAGAAATGGATGTAAATAGATGTATCTAGAACTAAAATACGTCTAAATGCATCTACTTCTTCGATAAGTATTTTCGGACTGAGGAGTAGAAAATAAAAAACCGATAATCAAGAAAGTCGTATGCAAGAAATACTTTGCCCATCACGTGCCTTCCTGTGTGTCACCGACCGGTAAACCTATGGAGGTCTCTTTGAATCCATCCGGAGACACAGACGTTGTTGGTGCTGGTGGTGCTGCTTCAGAAGTTGCCCTCTTTTCTTCTTGTTCTTCTTCTTTTTGTTTTGCAAGGCGTAGGTAGCGCTCGGCGACGAGAAGCTTGGCGAAGCGGTCAAGTTCTTCATCATTTGTGGGGCCGTTCTTGCTTGTCTGGTAAGTCCCAAGGTACAAGTCCACCTTACCCGAGTTGCTCTCCAGCAGCTTCTGAGCGATGTCCACCAGGCTATCAGTGTTCTCCGTAGTCGCATTGTCCATTGGCAACATGTCGGGCTCCTTGAATAACAAACACTGCAATTAATTAATTGAGTTTTTTGTGGAACAATTATTTGAGTTTTTTTACCCCCAAAATGATAGGAAAAGATCCTACTGTGCTTAATAAATTTTTGTGCACAAGGAAGATCAAAGTATGTATGGACTCAAACGCGTACCTGAGCCTGGATGCGGAGGTACTTAGCGGCTTGGTTATGGTTCAAGAGCATGCGGACCTGCAAGTCCACCGACTCGGAGCTGGCGTGGGAGTACATGTCGATGAGTGGACTGTGTTTGTTGCTCAGGTTGAAGAGCCAATCAAAAGCGCCCCACTTGGCACAGTCCGCGGCGGTGTACGCCCCCTTTTCCTTGACAGATGACCCGGTTCCGATGGAGATGACGAGGAAGTTGTTGTAATTCACATCGGAGTGGTGGAAGTGCGGATTCCGGAGTAGCACCTCCCTGGTGACCCTCATTATGGCAGCCATGGTGGGGTTGTTGGCGGCCACGGCGCCATCGGCGAGGTGGAAGTTCGACCGACGTATCCCACTGGGACGGTCGTTGTCGAAGTAGTGCGTGGGGAAGTAGGTCGGCGCGGCCGAGGTGCCGATGCAGACGTCAGACAAGAGCGGTTTGGTCTCTTTCTTCCTTTTCTGCGGGTCCGTCAAGTGATCCTCGAAGGAGGAGAAGATGACAGGTGCCAGCCTGTAGACGTCGAACGTAGGCACCACGAGCCAGCTGAGGGTGTTGGCGAGGGTGTGCTTCTCCGTGAATTCCTCGATCTTTTGGTGCAGGAACACGCCGTCATACCTGGGCCCCTTCAAGGCGTGTATAATTTCGCCGGCCAAGCCCATTTTCCTTAGAAAGTAACTGTAATTAAATAGCACACCACATCACGATATAGAAAGTAACTGTAATAATAATGATAATAAAACTGCTGGGAAAATAGAATTAGTTAGCTAGCTGGGAAGATGCGTACACCTACTTTTTTGGCGGGAAGATACTAGGCCCGTTTTTAATGTAGAAATCCTGGATCTCCTTAGGGCTGTACTTTGGCCGTCCATGATCGCCTGGCGTTGCCAACATTGTGACGATGAGGCCGCCCGTGCTCGTGCCCGCCATCACATCAAAGTAGTCCGCTATTTGGGCATCTTTCCCGTCAATGTCCTGAACAGATCAACAAAGAGATCAAATGATTTTTTTAAGACATGTATAATGGTACTATCTTAGGAGTGCCACATAAAATAAATGCTGAGGTGAAAAAAAGAGAATTTATAAGAAAATACTTGTCTTATCTTATTTAAGAGATGATCTCTTAGCCCAACACGTCTCACCATGTTTTTAGAAATAACTAGTTATGATCGATAAAGCTAAGAGATAAGCCATTGTAGACATGCTTTTATTGTCTTCTCTATAAGTTACATGCAAAAATTAAGATAAATCTGTTCTATCAACCATTGTACATGCCCTTCCTCTTGGTCCAGCTTGAAAAGACACATGACCCACAATGTGAGGTAGGTACTAGTGGTCTACTTACTTGGAGCTTCTCCTCGAGGCTGCTGAGGACGACTGCCGGGATCAGCCCGCGTATCCCGCCACCATCGATGCTCAGCATGGTTATGAGATTCCCGAACCTTGGTGGCGGGAGCCGTGGTATCAGCTTAGACGGTGCTGGCTTCGATGACCCACCATCATCGTGTCCGTGCTCATACCCGCAATCACATCGAAGTAGTCCAACATCGGGGCAGAGACTGCTGCTGTTGCCCATGACCGTCGTACACTAGCTAACCTGAGTCAATTAATGGAGAAGGGATAGGAGCAAGATCGGTTAGTTAGGGGTAGGTCTAATAGGTGTTGTTGGACCCTATATCTCTATAGATATATATAGGCAAATGTGTCTAGTTTGCCTGGAGAGAAGCTACCTACCATGCCCTACACTGGGAGCGACGGCCGTGTCATATTAAATGGTTAATGGGACACACAGTGGCATAGAAGTTGTGCTTTTCACCTTAAAAAAACATGTTGCTAGGTGGGATGCATCCTGCACTTTTTAAACCCATCTTGTGGTGGTGTTATGCTTACAACGTGCGTGTACTAAATTAAATTAGTGCCACCGTACGTACGTAGTGGATTAACAGATAGATAGATAGATAGATAGATAGATAGATAGATAGATCGATGCATCCGAGAAACTGCTCCACGTACGGTAGCTCTTTTTCAAGTTACATGATTCGAACATGATAGAGAAATGCACGTGTGCAGGTACAATACAGAAAAATGTCTGGATTATATGTGCTCAAAACTAACACAATATATTTTTCTAAGTGACAATTTAGAACGCAAGAAATAGGAAAGCTAGGGCTACATTCTACAAGAGTTAGGAATTGGAACATTCTCACTATAAGATTGCGCATAATCTGTGCTCATTTCCACAATCGATGACAACAGTGATATCAGATTGGATCAGTGATTGGGCATCTCATGTGGGCAGATGGACGAACTTTTTGATGAACTGGTTGGTGTATGTGATTCTGTATGGTATTAGAGTTAAGAAAACTTGAGTTCAAGAGCTGCTCAATCGTAGTATTTAATAATAATAAAAATGCAATGCATCGATCATACGTCTATAACACCTTATGAAAACTAGATAAACCTCTTTTTTTAAAGGAGGTTAAACCCTGGTTATCCATGCTGATCATCAGTTCTGATTTTTGAATTAGCCCATTGGTGCATGAAACTTCAGAATTTGTCTAAAAGAAACCCTGGCTGGCTTAGAACGAGGCACGAATCAATGTGCTAGTGGTGGCTTGTGAACCCACGAAGATGGATGTTCCATTAAGCTAGACTACATAAACTAGGGTCGGTTAGCATGCAACATGCAAACCAGCTAGTAGCACACTTTCGAAGCTACAACGAACCTACTTATTTGAGCAGCTAGCTAGCGTGGACGTCCTACTAACATGCATGTGCTTTTCACCATGAAAAGAACATGGGCTGCTTGCAGTTTATAAACTGAAAGCACAAAGTTGAGACAGAGGTCGATCCGGGTGGTGGCGACAGCGTGAGATTATTCCTTTCATCTCTTCTCCTGGAGGTTGGAAAAGGTGAAAAGCTGAAGTTCACATGATACCTTGTCCTATACATAATGATAGATCTATGCATCCAAGAAAATGCTTCGATCCATTGACTTGACGCGCATCCGAGTCATTAACAAGTGTATGTTTGTTTCATACACATATGGGCATGGGCAAAGTTGTCCCTTTCCACCTTAAAAGACCATATGTTATCTACTATGCTGGAAAAGGTACGTACGATGAATAGGCAAAGTTTCAAATGATATATACCCAATAGTATCTACTTGCAAAAACAGTTTATTGAGACAACATGGATCGGTGTAGCTATGGTCGCTGAAATTTCCTTTTTTGTACAGAATTAATTAGGACACAAACATTTTGATCTGAGACTGAAACGGTTTGCAACACTGTACACCATTTTCTAGCCCACGGCTGTTCCCTAGAAGCATATGGATCAAGGGCAGATGATTTATACCCCTTTACTAGCATTATGTTTGGTCTGGCCCCCTTTGGAGTTGTATCTCGGTCATACTATAAGTTCACAACTTCAAATTTACAGACTCATGAATAGTTGCGTAATTTTGTGTGGTACTGACTTATCATGTTGATATTCTGTTAAAAAGTTTTTCTCACATGAGGACCCGGCTAATTCTTCCTTTTCCATAGTGTTCTGTGGGGCATTTCATATGCTCGTATTGCCGTCCGAAGCTTGTGCGCAACAAGTGTCACTTGTGCTCTGCCGAAACTACCTTCAAGCGTTGTCTAGGGATGGAATGTCTCATGGAATCGGTCACGGTCGCTTGCTCCAATGCCAATTATGGATGCGCCCAGAAGCTAACTTACTACCAGAAAGAAGAGCATGAGAAGGCATGCCCGAGCGCCCCATGTTTCTGCGCGGCGTCCAGCTGCAGCTTTGCAGGGCCAACAGACGCCATCCTTGAACATTGTGCCTCCCAGCACAAGTGGCCGTGTACAACCATCAAGTACTCCGAAGATGTTGAGCTCTACCTCGAACCAGGTCTACATTTTCTTCGTACCAAAGACAGGGAAATTTTCCTGCTCAACGTGGCACTAGAGCCATGCGGGCATGCCATCTCTGTTGTCTGCATCCAACCTAAAGCTATAAACTCCAAGTTCAAGTGTAGGATGTCCTATGGTTCCTTTTTGAACGACTATTATCAGAGATCAGTTTACAAAATACGAAGCTCATCCTTGTCTGATGGGCTACCAAAGGGATACAACTTAATTCTGCCCAAGGATGAGATAACTGATGATGGAAAGGGTACCTTGCTTACGTTCTCCATTGATGATCCTAATCCTAAAGTAAAGGTGTGTGAGCCCATATGTCTGAAACCAGTACGCGATGTATGATTGAAGTGGTAAAGGTTCAGCGTGGACGTTCACGGCCTTCACTGTTTGGGTCTCATGACTTGTACTCCCTCCATCCTAAATATAAGTCTTTTTAGAGATTCCAATTGGGACTACATAGGGAGCAAAATGAGTGAATGTACACATGTCTATATACATCTGTATGTAGTTCTTATTGAAATGAAATGGAGGAAGTATATGCTAAGAGACTTTATGATCTCAGACTCTGCTTCGTAGTTTTTTCGATGAAGTGCACTATGTTTAGGATTCCAGTTCATGTAAGGAATGTTCTACTGATTTGGGAGGCGCCGGGTCAAATGTTTGATGCTATGAAAATTGTGACACCGCCGTGAAATTGTGTCTGAAGTACTAAATGATCATTTGGTTCTGCTGACTGATGCAATCTTTGTTGTTTGCTGCTTTTAAGTCGTGTCATGGACCAAAACTGCTCAGGGTTTCAAATGCTCTTTCTAACAAGTGAAATGGGTTACGTTGATCGTGTAAGTGTACCTAGCCATAGATTTCAAATGCTCTTTGTCGGATACGTGCTCATCTTTTTGGTTAGTGTTGAAAGATAAAACTTGTCAATTTTTTGAACCAAATTTTAGGTTAAGTCCATAGAAACATAAAACATAAACACAATTTGATTGGAATATTTTTAATAACTTTCTAACAGATTCTTCGCCTGCAAAAAGGCTCAAATTAAGAAAAGAAAAAAAATAATATCCAAAATGATGCCTGCTTTCTTTAGCACGTACTCCGAGGTCTGGTCAGCAGTCCCTTCTCACTTGAGAAATTTGGATATTTGACACTGAACATCTGGCTTTGCAACATTGCCACTATTATGACAGACTAAGCAAAATTACCACCCAGACCCAGATGGTGAACACCTTGATTAATATGCCATTTTCCCTCTTTTACTGATTTCCTTGTCCTTTTTTTCCATTCCATTTAAAGACACCGGAAAGGACCAAACTGCCTATAAGAGGGGACTGCACATCCGCTCGACGTCGCTAAGAGCACCACCTGCACGTACTCCGAGGTCTGGTCAGCAGTCACCTAGTTATTTGTCGATTTCGACCAAGCCGCACATCTGCTCGACGTTGCTAAGAGCACCACCTGCTGGTGCGGCATGCCCGGCCGCTGCCACCTATTCTTTACGCGTTTGAGGAGGAACTGCTGTCGGTCGGCAGGAGTTCCTCTGAACTACTGGCTGACGCACGGACACTATGGTGCTATGCGGTAGCTATTTCTCTACACAGATTCATTTTTGGAGAGTGAAAGAGCAATATAATTGTGTTGGATTCGTATCATAGCACCACAAAAGAGCTTTCTACCAGTTCCGCTACCTAGCGGCGAGGAACCAGCCGTCATTCGCCTTTTTGGCGACTTGCATTCAAAGAGCTTATGTTGGCTTAACCATGCAAACATTGCTCTTCTGCCAAGAAAGATGGGGCTGAGGTGAGGAGATTTTGGACTACCACCCTATAAGTCTCATACACACCACTGTGAAAATCATTGCCAAAGTGTGTTCCAGTCTACTAGCTCCTTTCATGAACAACATCGATTCCAATGCCCAAAGTGCATTCATAAAGAAGAGAAGTATCCGCGTTAACATCATGTACGTCAGAAACTTTGCCTGTTGCCTCCATGGAAATAAAAAGCTAACCTTGCTTTTCA